GTTCATTCTCACCATTTCTACTAAAGAAATGTATTGGAGAGATTATCCAGCACTTTAAAAAGATCCTAAAATCATAAAGATATGACAGAAATAAAATTGTCTCTATTTTCAGAAATGTTTGATCATATATAATGAAATTTGAACAAACATAAATTAAAAATAAGTGAATTTATTATGACATAGAAGCAAGTCAAAGTAGACAAATCAATTATATTTCTTATACTAACTACAAAATATACAAAAATATACTAACTACAAAAATATAAAAAAAAATTAAATATCCACTAGGAATGGTACCTTGAAAACAAACACTACAAAAATTTCTAGGAATAAATTTAATAAAAGCTCTCCAACATCTCTATGTGGAATATATTTTATAAAACATTGCTAAGAAAAGTTTTACATGTTCTAAATAAATGAAGGGCTAATTAGTTTGATGTTTTTGTTGTATTCTGTTTGGGTTTTCTTTGGTACTAGGAATTGAATAACTCAGGATCTTGTGCTTGCCGGGCCAGCCCTCTGCCGCTGAGCTATATCCCTGACCTAGGATAATTAGTTTTTACTTTATCTAATAGTATTGTATAGGGGAGTTTCAAGAATAAAACAGAAAGTTTCCATATTCTGCCACTATATTTCGTTTAATGTTTCTTCTAATGGTGACCTATTCTACTTCCGTGGAACAGATAGTAATGATATTATATTGTTAGCGAAAATCTATATTTTGTTTAGATAGCCTCAATTTGTCTTAATGTATGTCCCAGGATTCTATCAAGAATACTACATTTCATTTGTTCTTTCTCTCTTAAACTTGTCTTGCCAATACGACTTTTCAAGGCTTTCCTTGTTTTCAAAAACTTTGGTAATATTGGAGATTATTTTTCATATGTTTTGTAGAATGACCTTAGCTTGAAATTTCTACATGATTTAAATATCTTACTTATTTTCCAATTATTTTTTCATTCAATCACTGATATCTAAATGGATTTGTACACATTAATTTTATGCTACAGGCATGATCCAATATCAGTTATTGTTTTAACTTTTAGTCATAGTACAGTACTACAGGATTATTCTGTGTCATTTTATCCCAGTGCTGGAATCAACATTTTCTTTTCTTTTTTTTTTTTTGGGGGGGGGGGTTGTTTTTTTTCCAGTACTGGGAATCGAACTCACAACTTTGCACTTGCCAGGCAGGAGCTGTGCCGCTGAGCTAAATCCCCAGCCCCTAAAATCAACATTTTGTTAAGGACCTCTGGTCCCTCATATGGAGAATAGTTTTGAAAGTACAGATACAAGCACTGGGGTTGCCCTTTAGTACTTGGTTATCCTTGTTTATTGGAGTCTGTGTGTGGACAAAGCTAGAAAATATTGTGTATTTATTAGCCCATATGAATACATATATCGATAATATAAATATTGTATAAAATATTAAATTGTACATGAGAAAAATACACTGATTTCTCAAATTCTAGTCAATTATATAGAAATAGAATTTTAAAATCTGTGAATACATAAATACTTCAAGTAATTGCTCATACCAAACTTTTAAATCTACCACTACTCCCTATTCTGTCAGTACAAGGTTCCCTGCACAGGGAGTTGGTATTCAAATACCAGAATTTTCAGTGACTTCCATTTATTCTTCCATGATTCTTAACCATGTTCCCTAAAACTGTCATTTATGGACTGGAACTAGCTTTTCAGGATGGTAATGTTCTTTTTATAATAACTATTGCATTTCTTGGTAGAATAATAAGTCTTAGAATCCTAGAAATATAAATTGAAAGCTGCCATCATATAATTTTGTAATGTGGCAAAATAAAATGATAGAAGATGCATTCTAAAAAGGAAGACCAAAGAAAATATATCATTTTGCCAAATATTTTTTAAAAGTATATCTCTCCTGTGTAAAACTGAAGTAGGTTCACAGTCTCACTGCCTTGAACGGGAAAGGGTTTTGTGAACAACAAAATTTCTTAGGTTGCGAGTCAAAACTTACTCTATTATAATCTAACACCTTGGGGGAGTGATAACTTTTTTTTTCCTAGCTATAAAAATAAACTATTTTTAAGTATAAAAAAGAAAGCAAAAAAAATGTAAGAAATTCATATATAATCTAAATCAGAAATACTTTGTATCACTATTGCAATTCATTAGCAGTCTCATTTTTCCTGTGTGTGTGTATGTATTCATGTACACAAAGAACAAATACTTTGATGCCTAATACTTGATTACAGAAAAATCACAATATCAACATCTTTGGAAGATTCAGATAGACCTACTTAGCTTGAATTATATTTAGATTAAGATGTTATAATATAGGATTAAAATTATAGAAATGCTTAAAATGATAGAGGATCTGGGTATTCTACCAAGCATGTATTGTTCGTGCAATTTTGTTCCTAGTTTTGCTTCCAGCCATTTTCTGCATTGTGAAGACACTATCAGAGACGTATAAATTATATACACACCTGCAAACCTTTAGGCAATGCTTTTTGTTTTATATATACATTTCTTCATTTGTCTCATGAATTTGGTAGACTGTAATTATCTTACAGCGTGAGTCAGACTTCTGTCTTCATTGATTAATTCCTCCTAAGTTGCAAAAGACCTCGCGAACACTATTAAGCTAAATTTATGATTTTCTTCCCTTCAGAAAGCAGGTACAATGTGGGTGTTCTTCCTCTGTGCTTCCATGGCACCTCACACCATCCTTCATTTTAGCACTTATCTCACCTGCTGTAATTATTTGTTTGCATTTGTCTCTCGCATTAAATAATGATCCCATTAAAGTAGTACCTATTTCTTCTTCACCCCTAAATTCTTGGCACCTAGCAAAATTCTTGGCATACAGTAGACTTCAGGAAATAATTGTTAAATGAATGAAACTACCAAATCTCTTAAATCACTGTCACCAGCTTTAATGGCACAATTTGTAAGGCAGTGTTGACAGAATAGCTTGCTTTCATTAAGTTGTCTTTAGAGATTTCATAGCTGCTCTACACATACTGAATCACTCAAATTTAGCAATCTCCATCCAAGCTTACAAATTGTTAAAGAACTTGTCATGGTATTTGTGAGCTACCTAGGTGAATAATATGTTTACAATAACTAATTGATTTCTGATTGGTCTGTATCAACATAGAAAGAAATAAGAACATTTACTTAACCCACTTAGAAAATTACACTGCACCTTCTTTCTATAGTGGTTTTCAGACCCTTTCTACATTAAAGAGGTGAATTCGAGTAAGATGATCACTAATACCTGATGAAATGCTGTTCTACAGAAGAAAAACACCTTTAAAATTTAAAACGTATTATAAAATAATTAACCTACTTTAAATAATGGTCTATCCCAGGCATCCAATTTAATAGCTACAGTGTTCATGTAGTCAGCTTTCTATTACAATAGCAGGTACTTAAATAATTTTGGCATCTTTGATTTTGCTAATGCTCAGTGCATATTGAAATCTACTGTAGCTATTACAGGACTGAATGCTATATTCAGTTAGTCACTGTGTTGCTATAGTGACAATCAAGTTCTTAAGACTCAGAACTATAATACTGAATGATTTTTCATTGTAAGAATGCTACATTAACTTTACATTAGTTTAGCAACAGCATGTCACATTATAGGACTGTGAATGACAAACATGACATATTTTACATAGTCTAAGAAGGCTAGCCAGGAATTATCAGAGGATGCCTTAGTGTGAAAGGAACAAATGCAACTGCAGTTCTCTCCATAGTGGAAATGACTTAGATATAGAGCTGGAGCTGGATTATGTAGGTCAGTTAAATACAAAGAATGAAACTATATAAGTCAAACTCGTTTCATTTAGAATTACGATATTTAAGCAGATCTGGTTGATTAAAAAGTAATTGAAAGTGGGATATTTGGAAGCTGAATGGATCCCGGTGGTATTGGTGGGACGATAAGTACATTGTTCAATTTACTGTTAGATTTCAGACAGAGTTAGGCAAATTTTCTCTTTGTTCATATCATAGTTAATTTGGGATTATATAATAAAAAATATTTTATTGTTATGAATCTAAATATACATAGTTGCCTCTGCTGTTCAGTTTTCTACTCCTTTATGCAAATGTGACACAAACATTTCCAGAAGATTAGACAAGCTCATGACTGCAGAGACAAAGAACTATACTGGTTGAAGAGTCAGTAATTACACTGAAGGATAAAAATAAATTTTAAACTAATTATTTTTTATTTGTTTGTTTTTGTTTTTCTTCTGGTACCGGGAATTGAACTCACAACCTTGCGCTTGCCAGGCAGGCGCTTTGCCAGGCAGTCGCTTTGCCACTGAGCTAAACCCCCAGCCCTCTAAACTAATTATTTTTATATTACAAAAAGTAATTCTAATTTTTGTTATGTTTATTTATCACCTAGGGCATATGGTGTAGCAAACAGTAAAGAATATACTATAGTTAGACTGGTAAACATACTTTTACCTTTCAAGTAACTTTCAAAGAATGGTACTTAGATTGAATGTTACTTAGATTAGATTAGTTACAAAAATACTAATGAATCACATTTCAGAAGGAAATCTTAAGCACCTCCCTTTCATGCCCTGATACAGACTTGATGAGTAGCTAGAGCCACTATGTTCTAAAATACTAAAGCAAAAATATTGCAAATAGGTAAACTTTATATGGTAACTAACAGAAATGTATGCATGATCGACTTAATTATAATGTATTAGTAGCATTGTAATTTAGCCAAAATATAGAAGTAGACTGAACTATATTAATTATAAATACATTTTCTCCTGATTTTGTAAATACTTATGTATATGGTGTCATATATGTGTTTTAATATTTCAATATTACTATAGTTAATGTAATATATAAATAAAAACATGTATATCCAAAAAATGAAAGGGAATTTCCACTTTATAGCCATATCCAGTCTAATCTTTAGCGACTAATTTATTAAGTGTCTGCAGTTTCAGCATATTAGTCATTTCCCTTTGTTCGAACAGTTTAAGAAGGAGAGGTTTATTTTCACACATGTTTTCAGATGGTTGGCTCAATCCGTGGTTGACTGGTTCCAGTGCAGAAATGTAATGGTAAAGAGTACAGCAGAAGAAAGCTATTCAACTCATGTCAGCCAAAAGCAGAGAAAGGGACAGGAGTCAGAGAAGGGAACATACCCTTTCAGATCACAGCCCAAGTCACCTGCCCCTTCTGCTGAAGCTCTATCTCCTAGCAGTACACTCAGCAATAAATTTATCATCATACCAATACCCCCATGATCCAGTCACCTTTCAAATGGCCCTGCTCCAAACACATGTGAATTCTGGGGGGACATTTTAGAGCATAATATAAAGTTACAGTCCTGGACCTCAAATTCACATGTCTCTATCAATATGCAAATTGCATCAATCCATGTTTTACAAATCACCGAAGACTTCACAATCATAGTATTGCTTAAAAGTCCAAGTCCAAATTCTTGGTGACTCAAGGCAAACTCTTAGCTGTGATCCACTGTAACACCAAAAAGAAATTTGAACATTTCCATCATACAATGTCACGGGGTAAATATTTCCATTCCAAAAAGAAGGAATAGGGGTATAGAAAAGAATCAGACTACAATAAGACCCAAATCCACCAGAATCAACACCAAATCCCATAGCTCCAATTCCAGGCCCAGAGACATTTTATATGAGGATGTAAAATCCAACGGGCTCTGGAAGTCCTGTCCCTATGGCCTTGCAGGGATTGTATCTTGCATGATCTCTGTCTTGGGCTGGCTGCACTAACAGACATTCCTCAGCAGGTGTTCCTTGTTTTTGGCATCTCCAACACTCTGAGATCTTCATTGCACCTCCTGCTTCACTCTCAGAGTCTCATGCATCACCCTCCCTGGGACACATTCTTAAGCCTCCAAAGCCTTCCACTGAAATGTAGTTAGAAGAATCCATGACCCCACAACTCTTGCCTTCATCCTTTCTGAAAAAGCAGCACCTTATAGATGAAACCAATGTCTAGTCACTTTCTTTTCAAATGTCCTCAAGACATTTGCTATTGTCTTGATGCAAGCACTGGGTTTGTTTTTAATATTAATCTTTTAAGTAGCCATAGACTCCTTGGTTCCAGGTTTATAAGTTGTCTTAGTCATTTCTTCATCTCTGGGACAAAATACCCAGCATCTGCAACTGAAGGGAGAAAAATTGTATTTTGGTTCGTGTTGTGTTTTCAGTTCGTAATCAAGCAGAAAGAGGATAGCAGAGGGCAATAATAGTGGAAAAGCTGCTCATGTAATGGCAGCTGGGAAGCAGAGTAAAGGGAGGAGATAAGGAAGGAGATAAACCCTTCCAGGTCAAGCACCCAGTGCACTGCCTTTTCCAACCAGGCTTCTCGTCCTAACAGCACACTCAGTTCCTGATCTCCTTAGTGGGTGACTCTACTGTAAGTGTCCCTGCCCATGATCCAATCACCTGCCAGAAGCCTTGCCTCTAGGCACATGAAAATTTTATGGGGCATTCTAGATCTAAACCTTAACATTCTTCCCCTGAGCCCCACCCCACTCCAAAGATGCATATGTCTGCCCTTCTCTGAAATGCTTTAAATCCATCTTTAAGAGTCTTCAAAGTTTTATTAGTTCTAGTATCACTGAAAAATCTGAGATCAAAGCCCTCCTCTGAGTCTCAAGGCAATCTCTTACCATGAGTCCCTGTTAAAAAAGAAATTTTAATTACAGGGTAAACATCCTTAGTCCAAAAAGAAGAAATAGCAGGATATTTTAAAAAGCTCAAAACACAATCAAAACCCAGCAAGGCACTCTGTATCTAGCATCCAGAACAAGTTGTACTTAGGTATCAGTTCTAAATACATTCAGCATCCCTGCCCCTACAGTGTTTCCACTTGTGGACAAAAAAAAAAACAAAAAAAAACAAAAAAAAAAAAAACATTTGGGGGTAACTCTGCTCACTGTTGACAGCTTTCTTCATCAGGCAGTCCATACTCCTGGCTTTCCCAACTTCCTGGGGTCTCCACAGCATTTTCACGTCACTCTCAAAGGTTAATGTACTGCACTATCAGAGTCAGACTATCTGCCTTCCTCGCAGGCCTTATGAAACATGAGCGAAGTCTTCCACGATCTCACAGTTATGGCATACCTGTAAAGTGAGGACTGTATGGATGATGTCAAGATATGCTACCAGCTGGAACAGTAGTCAGGTGCCTTTGTATCATGGCTGCGGAGACCTCTGAGCTCTTGATGGCTGAGTACTCTAAAACAAAACCTCAGGGAACCAATCTCTAGGTGGGCACGGTGCCCTGGGAATCTCTTCTCGAGGCAGGCTTTTGAAGGAGACTTTTACCATTTAACACTCACAAGCCTGGGGAAGGTGGACCTTGCTGATTTATGAGACACTCTCAAGGCATCTTTCTTACTGTTCTGATCCAAAGTGCTTGGCTACTTTTTAATGCTAATATATATGGCACTACACTCACCCATGCCTTGACTTTGTAGGCACTTTCTGACAAAACTACAAAGATTTTCCTATCAGCTCTTTGCTCCTTAGGTTCATGGTAAATCTGGAGTAAAACAGCCAGTAGTGCCCAGGCAACAACATGAACATTGAGCTGCCTTGAAAATTTCTCCATCAGATAAATTAGTTTACTACCATTAATGTTAGTCTCCCACAAAGTCTCAGGACATAGGCAAAATATCAACAAATTCTTGGCCAGAGCATAATATACATTGTCTAAATACCAATGGAGTCCTTGATCCCAATTGAAACCTGTCAAGCCTGGCTTTTACTATTTGTGTTTCTTTTATCATACCACTTTTCTTGTAATAGACCAGAGTCTTCCATCAGGCTAGGGCTATCGCCAGACATCCTCATGTTAATGGATGAAAAGTTTATTTTGACTCACTTTTGCAATCCATGATTGGCTGGCTTCAAAGCAGAAGCAGCATCATATGGAGCATAGCAGAGGAAAAGCTCATCATGTCATGATGACCAGAAAGCGGAAAGTGAAGGATGGAGATAGTGAGAAAGGTACACTCTTAAAGGGCCTGCCCTCTTGAACCTGATATTCCAACAAATTCCCACTTCATAATAGCTCCCTGAGCTCCTGAATGCATGAGCCTGGGCTTTATTGTCTGCATTCCCACCGATATTCTGCTCTTCCGTACTCCAACCAGAATTATTCACCTAGCTCAGTTTATAGCACTCTAGGGTTTCTCTACCTGGCATTTTCAAAACTTCCCAAGCTCCCTCCACAAAGCAGTTCCCAAGGTTTCCAAGACAGTTAACTGCTAAGTTAATTTAGGTAAGAAATGCCCACCTGATTGCATTAGCATGGTTCTGGTTGTGGCTGGATGGATTTACTGAAGATGGAAAACCCAGCCTGTAGTGGATTACAGAGATTAATGACACTATCAAGGATTGGAAAGATATAAGGCTGGTGGTTCCCACCACATCTCCATTTATTTCTCTATTTGGCCAGTGCAAAAAAAAATGGATATGTCTTGGAGAGTGATGATGGATTTGTGTAAGCTGAATCAAGTGGTAACTTCACTTGCAGCTACTGTACCAGAATGTTTTGCCTGAGCAAATCCACTCACTTCCTGGTACTTGGCATGCAGTTATTGATTTGACTAGCACCTTATTTGCCCTACCTATCCATAAGAAACAGCGTACACAATTTGCTTTCAGCTGGTAAAGCCAGTGATACACATTCACTGTCCTACCTCAGGTTTATATTAACTCTTCAGCCCTGTGTCACCACTTGGTTTGCAAAGAACTTGATCACCTTTCTCTCCCACAAGATGTCAATCATACTAGTCCATTATATCAATGACATTATTTTGATTGAAACAACTGAGCAGGAGGTGGCAACCAATCTGGACTTGTTACTTAAGCATTTCTAAGTGAGAAGATGGGAAATAAATGCAGCTAAATTTCAAGGTCTTACCTCAGTGAAATTTCTAGAAGTCCCACAGTGTGGTACATGCAAAGTTATCCCTTCTAAGGTAAGAGATAAATTGTTGATTGTGGTTCCCCTGCGACAACAACAATAAAAAGGATGAACAACACTTAGTGGGCATATTTTGGTTTTAGAGGTAACACATTCCTCTCTTAAGTGTTTTACTCGACCCATTTACCACATGACTGAGGAAGCTGCAAATCTTGAGTGGGGCCTACAATAAGAGAAGAATCTTCAACAGGTTCAGGCTGCTGCCCAGGCTGCTCTATCACAGGGGCCATATATGATCCATCAGATTCAATAGCAGTTGAGGGATCATTGGGAGTTAGAGATGCTATGTGGAGTCTCCGTCAGGGCTCCATAGGTGAATTGCAGCAGCAATTTAAGAATGTGAAGCCAGTCTCTGTTATCATCGCAGATAACTATTCTCCTTTTGAAAAACAGATCCTGGTCTGCTACTGGTTCTTAAGGAAAATTGAATGCTTGACCATGCGTCATCAGGTCACCATGCAACTGGAGATGCCCATCGTGATCTGGGTATTATCTGATCTACCGAGTCATAAGGTTGGACATGCACAGCCACAGCCCATCATTAAATGCAAGTGGTATATATGTGATGGGGCCAGAGCATGTCCAGAGGGTACAAGTAAATTTCATGAAGAAGTCACTCAAATGCTCATGGCACCTACTGCTGCAATATTGCTTAACCCAGCATGCACCTATTGCCCAATGGGGTGCATGCTATATTGGCTGTCAGTGGACAAAAGGCTAGTGCCTGGCTTGCAGATGGTTCTGCATGTTATACAGGCATCACCTGCAAGTAGACACTGCAACATTAGAACCCCTTCCTATTATGCCTGCTGACAGAAAGAACTTACATGATTACTTACTTTAAATTATCACACTGTAATTCTTATGATCACAACTTCTTTTTTAAATATCTAGACCACAATTCATTAAATGACAAGTGAACCAATGAATCCATAGAGTCTCATTCATAGTTTGTGAGTTCTAATGAATTCTCCAGAAACGTAGGATGATACTTACACAAGCAATCCAGATGGGGGACCCCAGGGATTTGAACTGAAGCAGGCTGGTTAGTAGATGAGCAGAATCCTGAACGCATACAGACAGAAGCAAACCCAGAAAGAACTACCTGAAGGCCTTTAACACTGGAGTGGAAAGTAGGATTTAGTCTTTCTTGCTCAGTTTGGCAGCTTCTGTTTCCCCTGCACTGAATCGCATATTAAGTATATTTTACAAGACAAAAATGAAAAATAAGCAATTTTATAATGTGAAAATATCAATAGATGAAGAGTGTTTGATGTGAATCAATGTAGGCGGCTTTCGTTAACATTCTAATACTCATTCTTCCTGATGGACGTGTTGATTTCCTCATATTGAAGATGCTAAGTGATTGGGGTAATTAAAATTTCTGAAGCTAGAAACACTGGCTTTGAAGTGGTACACACTGCCACTCGGTGATGGTTTCCTTTCCTCCCACTCAAGTGTTATTTCCTCTTAGAGTCTCTACATCGATTGCTGTGCTTTGAGAATGATAAGGGTTTGTCTTCTCAAAGAATCAGGTGTTCGAGTGGTCCTCATCAATGTGGCAGTGAGACAAGGACTGGAACATTTAAAGATCGGGGCCTGTTACATCGCAGATTGAGAATGTCCCCCAGGCATTCATGTGCTTGTGGGTTGGACTTTTGGAAGGCGGTTGATCCTTGGGGATGTGATAGCTGACTTGCTGTTTCGAGGTAGGGTCTGGTTGGAAGAGCCAAGTCCCTGGGTGTGGTGTGGGGGTGACCTGGGAGGGTTTATTCCATCCCATGCTTCTCTTTTCCTTCTGTGCTTCCCGGTCGCCATGACATGAGCAGATTTCTCTCCTCAGTGCACCTCCGCTGTGCCATTTTCTACCTTGGAGCCAGCCTGCCATGGTCTATAACCATAAACCCAAATAAATATCTTCTTCTTTAAATTATGAGTGTCAGATATTTTGTCCCATTGAGGAGAAAAGTGGCTAGGACTGGGCCAGCAGAAGATTCTTTGGTCCATGGTGGTGATGGCCTCGGAGGAAGTGCAGGACTCCAGACTCGTTATTTTCCCGTAGGGAGATGTGCTCTCCTTCTCACACCTCCTGGCACCATTGCCATCAGCAGCTCGCTGGTGCAGACATGGGTAGTATCCCTTGCAGATCTTCCACAGGGGTATTTTACTCTCAGAACCTAAAAGTTTAACTAAAGAAACCCTTTTCTTTACAAGGTGAGCTTCTTCTAGCTAATTAATTATAGCAATTATAAAAGGACTAATATAACTATCATGCAAAATATACAATTAAAATATGCTTTTTCATTAATATATGATATTTATGTATGTTAATTTTAGGGATTATAAAAAATAAGGTAGTAGTCTTAGAACTCTTTCAACATATAAACAGCCATATCTATAAGGGTTTTGTTTTTTTCCTTTCATTGTTTTTGTATTTTATCTTTGTCATCTTTGACCCATTTCCTAAAGGTGATGTATATATTGAAGAAATTCATATTTTTAAATGATTTATAGCCCTAGGAATTTTTTGCATCTTGAAAAACTATTAAATAGCATGAAAGATTGCATGCAACATTGTTTGTTTCATCTTCTTATTTTGTAATTATTTTTATAGCCAGTTGTTTGGTTCACAAAGCTATTGAAGAGATCATTTACCTAGTTTCAGTATTGTCAAGTATGTAGTCCCTATAACAGAAAAGCCTATTTAACAATCAAAACTGAATTTATTAAACCTTTGTATATTAAATGTAATGTGGATAAAAACAGCAGGGTTCCCTGTCTAAGGCTGTGATTTCTGAGGTGAAATTTGCAACTGAGGCCTTAGGCCTGAGCATTCCTCATTCTATAGTAACTCCGGATTGCTGGACACAGCAAGTGTGAGTCTTGAAGGAATTTCAATGGAGGATCTGTTAATTTTGATAAATGAATTCATTTTTGTTGGTTTATTATTTTAATTTACTGGAGAAATAGTTCCTAAAGCAAGAAATTAAACCACATTTGCCACTTCTCAGTGCTGTTTTTTCCCACTTAGTAAAAAAGAGTGCACATATTTTCAGCATTTTTTAACATAAGGAAATGAAAATAGGTCTGAGCTCAGTACTGCTTCCCCTTGGGTACAAAGTTAAAGAAACTAAAGTTTTTTTTTAAATTATTTGTGATCCTCTTTACCTTTGCCTCAAGGAACCAACTGAAATTTTCTTTTTTTTTTTTAACCTGTGATTTTTCTTTCCTTTGTCTATTGCAAAACACTAAAATATAATCAACACTTGCAATTCTTATCTAATTAATCCAGGTAAAAATAATATTCCTTTTCATTAAGGAGTCCATGAGCATTTACTAGTGTAGCTCATCTTGCGTCATTTTGTTTCTATTTAGCTGTGCTCAAATAATTTACATGGCCTTTCTGACATCTAGCACCTTTTCAGCACCTGGTCTCCTTTCAGTCGGTTCTGTGGTTGCCAAGTGTCTCATTATCCCCTCTTTCAGTTCCCGTTCAACAACTGTTTACACTGCCTTTATTTTATTTGTGTTGTAATTTTGCAATATTGGGCTCTTCTCAGTGAAAGAATAGCGGGTTTACACGCAAAAGCTGGATTTATTCATATTTTCTTTCTTTGCACTAAAAGAGACCCTGTTTATGAATTATCAAAAAAAGACTACTTTAAAAAATTTTAATTGTAACCCTCAAAGGGAACACATAATGAGGATGGTTCCATTAAGCTGGTTTTTATTATACAATAGAATGAGTAGTTTCTACTTTTTGGAATGTAAGATAGATTTTTCTTTTTTAGTTCTTTCAAAATATGAGAAGTGCCTGGTGTGGTGGTTTACACTAATAATCCCGGCACTTGGGAGCCTGAGGCAAGAGGATTGCCATGAGTTAGAGGCCAGCCAGGACTCCATAGTGAGTTCAAGGCCACTCTGAACTGCATAGCGAGACCCTGTCTCAACACAAAATATGGGAAATATTTAAAAGATTATTATTTTTAAAAGATTATATTTTTAAAACTTGGTAATTTAGCTTAACAATACAACATGTTTTAACAGAAAAATAATATAACGTTTATCCTATATTTGATACTTACAATTTTAAACAACATTTCTATCATCTGTCTATTCCACATTTTCATTTTAACCCTCTCACACTTGAATATTTGCTTTGTGTAATATTTTTAATTTTATACACTTGAATGTCAATTTGAAAAGTAAGTGCAGGATATATTTCTTTTCTATTCATCTGAATTCTAAACTAAGTTCATCAGTATTCCTCGAACTTAACTTGCATGTTAGTTTTTCACTGCCTTGACAGAATTCCTGAGAAATTCCACTTAAAGGAGAAGCTTTTAGTTCCTGCTTTCTGCGGTCGAACTCTGCGGTCTCTTGCCCAGTACTGTTTCTGGAGTGAGAGCAAGGCAGAGTATTACGGTGTGAGACAGACAGTGTAACCAAGATGCTTGCCTCCTACTGGCTGATGTGAAAGAGAGAGCTGGCCTTTCTAGTAAATCTCCTTCCTAGAAACACACGTTTGAATCCATAAATGGGTTGACCCATTGACGCGTACACAGCGCTCAAATCTAATCACCCCCAGAACATCCCACCTTGAACATCGCTGCATTGGGACCCTTCAACTAACTCATGAGCCTTTCGGAGACCATCAAGATCCAAAGCACTAAACTCATCATGTTCTTGCTGTGAAACAGGGACCACACAGGGTACGTTAGTCACTCTCCCATCACTGGGACAAAACAACTGACGAGAGCAATCTAAAGGAGTAGAGGTTTACTTTGGCTGGGTTCAGTCCATGGGTGGTTCTCTCCAAAGCAGAGATGGCGTGGCAGAGGGGTGTAGAGGAGGGAAGACACTCAATCCACAACATCCAGTAAGCAGAAGAGAGAAGTGAGGAGCTCAGGACAAGAATGCAGATGGATACACCACTGATGGAAAGTGCCCTCAGGAGCCAATCCTCTAACAAAAATGTGACACTTTGGGGAGACAATTCAGATCTAAGCCATAACATGGTGGGGA